AAGTTCACAACTTCTTAATTGAATCTTTGACAAAGTGTATTATGCGGGTACACGAATAAAAGATTCGACCTACGTAAGCATGAAGTGTAGCCGCTTCAAGAAACCCGGACTTTGGTTTCGTGTGCGCTTATGAGAAGGATTGGACACATGGCGGATAATAGTGTCAAGGCGCTTAGAAGTTTTGAAAACTTAAGTGTATATTATCTTCAAATATTCATATGAGTCAATGGGTTCAATCGTTACCGACACCCTTTGTATTCGAGTATTCGTCAAGTGTAATATACTAAGGTGAAAATTCAATCGTCACGACATTTCATTTATGCTTAAGTTTTGTTGGAAGAATGTTGTGATTTTAGTGAATTCTAGGAATACACTAAAATGGGGGAGGAATGTTGGGAATTTGGTTGAACCGGACTAACCAAGTCAAACCGGTTTTGGGTTGGACCGACCAACCGGTTTGGTATTAGACCGACTGAACCGATATTCTAATTCCGTGAAGGGACACATCCCTTTGGCCTAGTGGCGGTTGCATTATTTTATGGATAAGGATAACCTTATGGATAGAGGCAACCCTTCATATGGATAAGGATAACCTTTCATATGGATAGAGGCAACCTTTCATATGGATAAAGGCAACCTTTCATAGGGATTAAGGCAACCTTTCATGAAACAATGCATGGATTCGGCCCCTATAAATATGTGTGGGGTGGATGATGCCACATACCATCAAACATATTCTTCTTCTTTCTTCCAAAAATTTCTAAGTATGCTTTAGTGTTCTTGAGCCTGGAACCTAAAGTGGTGATAGATTTATCCTCGGGAGAAATTTCCTGTAACCCTAGGCTTGTTGAGGGTGGAAATATTCTTTTCGGAAAGTGAACATTGTTCACGACTCTATCACAATCCTGGTCACCCGGTCTCGGGCTATCGTACGTATACCCTCGTCCCTAAAAGTCCCAACACCCACTCCAATCGGCAACGAGGCTAGTTGCAAACCTCTCGCTGGCGGGCTGAGACAGGTCGGCACCACGTCTTCATCCCGCCGGTTGGCCGCTTCTTTGCTGGCACCAGTAATAAAATAAAACAAGAGGAGCTTTACCTTGAAACGAATGACAGATCTGGCTTGGAGGAGGGACGACGATGCGACTTCAGGCTTCTCCTTTTTCCTCGATGCGGGGGTCCCGAGGATCGAACAGAGCTGGGCAATCGAGGCGATTGGTGGCTGGTGGCGACAGGCTTCTTCTTCCTCCTCGACTCGGTGGCGATGAGCCTCAGACGGAGCTGGGAGGTGGCTAGTGGCTGGCTGCGGAGAGAGGTTGTCACTGGGGAAGAGGGGATGAGACAAGGATAGAGAGGTGAAGGGGAAGGTAAGGGCGGGTGGGTTGGGTGCAAATGCAATGCAGTAAAAAACGCGATTCTACCTAGAAGCGAAAAAGGTTAAAATCATAAAGCTTAGAATCAAAGCGTAAAAGCGTAAGTTTTTTACGCATACTGTAAATAGCTAAAATCTATTAAGGACGACATATTTTATGTAAAATATGAGTGCGCAAAATTTAGACAAGTTAATAATTAAATACATGCATTCATGCCTAAAGTAGAACAACCTATAAAATATTAACAATAAGTTTATAAACATAGATCTTGACAATAAGCCACCTTACACTCTACGCTAATGAATTTGGGAAGGGCCTAGCAGATGAATTAGATTACTCTATTGAAACTAAGAACGCATTCAAATACCTGATATGTATCTTTTAATTTCAAATGTATCATATTGTTGGTGACTTACCTTTAAAATATATTTTTTATAATTAATTTCATGAAAAGAATATCCATTTAGCGAACTAGAAGTGTAAAATCGCAAAGCGTTTTGGTGAAGTAGAAGCGAAAAAGCATAAACTTTTAAGTTTCAAAACACAATTTAGTCCGATTGTAGACACTAAAGATTTTACATGGAAGCGAAAGCGTTTTGGTGACCTAAAAGTATAAAATTGTAAGGTTTTAAGTTTTAAAACACGATTTTAGCTGCATTGTTGAATGGGTGGGTTTTAGGGTTTAGTTGAGGGAAAAATTGTGTGTTTTTGGGTAGTTTAGACTTTAGAGCGTTAAATTCATATATTTTCGGCGTTAAATACAAGTCCAATTGGAAAAGTGAGGCAAATAAGGAATTTTCGTGTGGTCTAATTGAGGAGAGAGAAGAAACGAGATAAAGAAATATTGGTGTTTATTTATTTTTGAAACAAAATAGAAATATTAGAATTTTAATGATTTTTAGAATGATGAGACAATTACATGGCGCGTTGACTGTTGATTAACGATGTTGACCATTCAATTTAACGATAAACCTATGGTTCGATCAAATTCGTCTGGATGGTGCAGAGTTTAAGTCAAGATTGATATTTCATAAACCATGGGCCAGGTAGTCTATTTGTGTAAAATTCAGGCCAATTTATTGTAGCCCTATTAAAGCGAGCAATTTAAATTATTTAACAACGTGCCTTACATTACACCTATCGCTATGGTAACAACTAACAACCCTTATCCGGTAAACCGGCCAGACAAAATGCTAGTTTAATTATGAAAAGAATTGAATATGGGGGATACGTTTGGAAGTAAATAGGATTTATTGGGTGGAGTTGGGTGGAATCGGCTTATCACCTTGTTCAATGTCCATCCCTACTTTCATGCCCCGTTTAGTAATCATTCTGTTTTTTGTTTTCTGGACAACAGAAAATGGAATTCGAAGAAAAGGAAATTGTTGTTTCCTAGAAAACAAAAGCTCAAGAAAACTTGTTTAGCTGACAATTATAAAGACTTTTGAAACTGAAACCTGAAAACGAAAACATGTTTAGATACAATTGATGTGAGATGATTCCATAACTTGCCTTCTTAAACCAACTTAATCCAAAATATCCCGATACTTAAAATGGTCACATAATACCGCATTCACATTAAGTAACCACAAAGAACATGATAATAACATCCAAATCACTCGAACACAAACAAATCACCCTCCACATCCTACAATATCATGCGGAGTATATTCCAAACTCCTCACATCCATACTTATTAATGCTCCCAACGCCCTCATGCATCTACTTAGTAATTTACTTTAATCAATTCAAAGTTCCAAATAGAAACAATGTGCCCCAAAAGATGGTTCCAGACTTCCAAGAGCTGCACATTTCTGAGAGGACATGAAATAAGAATTGAATTACAGAGAATGAAATTGGGTTTTGGATGCGAGAGGCGGAGCTAAAGAAGCTGAGCCATGCCAGTGAACAAGAATTGAGGCCAAGAAGGATGCCGATGCGGAGCCAGAGAAGGGTTGATAGGAGAAGCAGATCAGCAGCAGGGGATTGAGAAATAGAAGGACAGGGTTGGTGACTATTCTTGATGGAGGGATAGTAGTAGATAAAAGGGTTAATATTTTTGTATGGTCTGAACTTTGACTAAAATAAACATCATAGTTAATCTTTTCGATCTATAACATCCTAGCCCGAACTATACACCAAAATAAACAATTTGGCCAGATCCAACTTTTGACCGTTAACTTGGACGGTCAAACGCGCCATATCACTACCAAGTCAGCATAAAATATTTAGAATAATTCACAATTTCCACACATTTCCTAATTTTAAATTATAATAAATTAAAAAAACATCTAATACCTTAGTTAAACCAAAAATAAAAAACGAAAAAAATTAAATATTTATCAGATCTTCTGACTTGGCAGTGACGTGGCGTGTTGACCGTTAGTCAACGCATTTGACCGTCCAAGTTAACTGTCAAACATCGAATTTGGCCAAATTGTTTATTTTGGTGTATAGTTCGGGTCAGGATATTATAGATCGAAAAGATTGATCAGGATATTTATTTTGATCAAAGTTCAGGCTATACGAAAATATTAACCCTAGATAAAATTATGAAAGTAAAAATTTGGGGCGGAGGGACTCGAAGGGGGACCTCATTAAATGGGAATGGGGGAGGAATCCGCATCCCTCTTTCCGGAAACAATAATATTGTGTTTCCTGGAATTATCATTTTTTTGGTGCCAAATTGATTCATCAAATGGAAACATATGAAAAAAGGAATGAAAAGTGAACGCTTTTTTTCTTTTCATTTTTATTTTTATGGAAACGGAAGCAGAAAACTGGAATGAGAATGGATACTAATAAACTGGAATCGATTATTTTGAAAATCAATGATGACCAAAATGTACTAATTTTCCAAATAATCGACAACTACCATTCGATTTTTGAGATGACCATCAACCCTAATAATCAGCTTATTCAATAACGATTTGCTGACCACCATATCAGCCAGAATTATTTGTGTGTTTTTTTCTTTCTTTCTAAATTGTTAAGTTAGCTGTTACTTGTGTGTTTTCTGATATATATAAGATTATCTTTTGTAAAAAAAAAAATTTAATAAATAAATAAGTTAGCTGTTAGTGTTCTTACTTTCTTTGTCAACTGGTTTTTGCAGTAGTTGATTAAATTAATCGATTGATTAGTTTGATTCTTCTTCTCGCAGGCCGATTCCATGGAGGAAGCCAGTTCGATTGAATCAGCCGACCAAGTTCCGCAACAAAAACAGAGAGTAGAAATCCACCACGCAGAGAGGAGCTTGTGCGGACTCTCGACGCCATTCTCCCGATTAGACAACTGCAAAAAAGTCAACTCTCCAATTTTGACTTCGATTGCGGTCCCGTTATTCTTCCCCGTAGCATCACGTCACGAGACACGGAGACAGAGACCCACATCTTTCTTTAATTTGGGTGGCGTGCTGTACATCTAAGATTCCCCTTCCTAGTATCCATTGACATCAGAATATAAATATACCATTAGAAACTCAATTTACAACTGCGAAAAGCCAAACGAATGTACCCTGCCAAGAAAGAGTCTTCTCCTTCCACCGCACATTCAAGCGACCGCCGCCTGACCTCCGATCTCAATTGTGGCAACATCGGCTCCAATGCCCACAAGCCCAAGAAATCAATGACGCGCCGGGTCTTTACATTCTGGGTTCTTCAGCTCTGCCTCCTACACATTGCCGTTGCTACGCACTCGAGCAACCAGACGGATCGGCTGGCGTTGCTCGAGTTCCAGTCCAAGATTTCCAGCGACCCTTTGGGAGTTCTAAGCTCGTGGAACGATTCCACTCATTTTTGCTTTTGGGGCGGCGTGTCCTGTTCCAGACGACACGTCCGAGTCACGGTCCTAGACCTGCATTCCAGTAGGCTCTCTGGCTCCATTTCTCCACACATCGGCAATCTCACCTTCCTGAAGAAGCTCGACCTCAACAACAACACATTCCACGGCGCAATCCCGCCAGAAATTGGCCGGCTACGCAGATTGCGGACTCTGTTTCTATACAACAACTCGTTGGGCGGCGAGATTCCGTCCAACATCTCGGGATGCTCTGCTCTGGCCGAGGTCCATGTCAGAAATAACAAATTGGTGGGAAGCCTACCTCGGCAGCTCGGCTTCTTGTACGGGCTTCAATTCTTTCACGCGGGAGGAAACCGTCTAACAGGGAGCATCCTTCCTTCTTTCGGCAACTTGTCATCTATCCGGATCCTAGCATTAGGCGATAACCAATTGAGTGGAAGAGTTCCTGAGGCTCTAGGAAAACTGAAGAAGAGCCTTGAGGAACTGCTGCTGCATCGTAATTACTTAGACGGTGAAATCCCTTCTTCCATTTTCAATCTTACTCTCCTTACACTTCTCTCCCTTGGAGAGAATCGACTCCGTGGAAACCTTCCGTGGAATCTGGGAATATTACTTCCGAATCTTGAGAATTTTTAGGTGCCTTTTAACCAACTCGCTGGTAGTCTTCCACCTTCTTTGTCAAATGCCTCGAATATGGTCCAACTTCAACTGCAAGTCAACAAGTTTACAGGGAGTGTGCCTAGTATGGCTAGCTCTCACAACCTTCTGCGTTTAAACATTGCCGAAAACTTTCTTGGAAGTGGCAAGGTTAACGGTGATGATTTGAGTTTCCTTTCTACCTTGACAAATGCAAGAAAATTGCAAGCCCTGGTCATCAGCACCAATAATTTTGGAGACAGCCTACCGGAGCAAATTGGCAACTTGTCATCCAGCCTTGAGATACTTGTGTTGGATGACAATCAAATATCAGGAAGCATCCCTGAGGGCTTACGAAACATGTTCAACATGCAATGGTTTTGGGCAGATAAGAACAAACTATCAGGTACAACAATACTATCCATTATCGGGAACATGCAAAGTTTAATGCAGTTGCGTTTGGACAACAACAACATTGCAGGATATATTCCTTTGTCTATTGGAAACTTGGATAGATTGCTCGTATTGCGCTTGGCGAATAACCATCTAGAAGGAGAAATTCCTATATCTATTCAGAACTGTAGAAGTATGATACTTCTGGACTTATCAAACAACGATCTCAGTGGCGTCATTCCCCCACAACTCATGGGTCTTACTTCCTTATCAATGAACTTGAACTTGTCTCATAATCATTTTGTTGGCAACATCCCCATCGAAGTGGAAAATCTGAAGAACTTGGGCTCATTGGATCTATCCTATAACATGATATCAAACAACATTCCAAGTAGCCTTGGTAAATGTGTCAGCTTGGAGTTTGTGCAATTGCAAGCCAACCTCCTTAGAGGAACGATTCCTTCGTCTTTGGATTCATTAAGAGGTATTCGACTATTTGATGTTTCAAGCAATAACTTATCTGGTCAAATTCCCAAATTCTTTGAGAAGATGAATTCTCTACAATTATTGAATCTGTCTTATAACAAGTTTGAGGGTGAAGTGCCAGCGGCGGGAGTTTTGAATAATAGCAGAATCATTTCAGTCATTGGAAATGTCAATCTTTGTGGGGGATTCGCTGAACTTAACCTTCCACATTGTAGTTTCAGACAACCAAAGAAGAGATTGAGCTATAAGTGGAAAGTTTTTATATCAACCATCTGTAGTATCGTGCTCTTGTTCTTTCTTGGGACTTGCTTGCTTGTCTTTTGGATGAAAAGGAAAGGTAAACTACATGTAGTTTCCAGTGACGATGATTTCGACACTCGAGTATCTTACCAAAGTCTCCATAAAGCTACAAACGGTTTCTCCACAACAAATCTTATTGGTGTAGGCAGCTTTGGTTCCGTGTACAAGGGAGTTGTTAACATTAATGGAAAAGAGACCACAATAGCTGCCAAGGTATTCAACCTTCAGCGTCGTGGAGCTTCCAAGAGTTTCATGGCAGAATGTGAAGCATTAAAGAATATCAGACACAGAAATCTTGTGAGGATATTGACAGCATGTTCAGGTGCTGATTATCAAGGGAATGATTTCAAGGCTCTAGTCTATGAGTTTGTGGTTAATGGAAGTTTGGAAAATTGGTTGCATCCATTGGAAAGTTTTGATGACCCTCCAAGGACTTTGAAATTCCGTCAACGGGTAACTATTGCAATTAATGTTGCTTCTGCACTAGATTATATTCATAACCTCTATGAAACGCCTATTGTTCATTGTGATATTAAACCCGACAATGTTCTCCTCGATGAGCATATGGTTGCTCATGTTGGTGATTTCGGATTAGCAAGGTTTCTTGAATCATCAATTGAGAATCTCTCTTCTGGTGGCGAGAAATCTAGCTCCATTGGCATAAAAGGGACTGTGGGCTATGCGCCTCCAGGTATTCACTCCTCGTTGCTATTAGAATTATATCTTAGAGGTCCCGTTTGGTTTAAAAACTAAAATTATAGAGATAAACCAATTTTTTTCAAAGTAATAAAAAAATCAGTAAGATCTCATACCAAATACATTATCCCATTTGCTTGAGTGGTTTGTTAAGGTTATATTTAAGATTTTTTCCATTGATAATATTTTCTCTAATCTTGTTTAATTGTAGAATATGGTATGGGAAATGAAATTTCAGTTGAAGGCGATATGTACAGTTACGGGATCCTCCTACTTGAGATGTTGACAAGAAGAAGGCCAATTGATGAATCTTTAAAAGACGGTTTAAACCTCCATAATTTTGTGAATGCTGCTTTATTAGGACAAGGATCAACAATTGCAGAAGTTGTGGATCCAACTCTACGCAATGAGCTACTACTTGGTCGAATCTCGGAGAAAGCTCTAATTTGCATGCTTGAAATTGGTGTTGCTTGCTCTTTCGACTCCCCGCAAGAGAGACTAAGTATCAGTGAAGTTTTATCAAGGCTAAACAAGCCACTTGTTTGATGGAATTGCTCAAATCCTAAACTTAAAGGTGTTCAACTTGAAACTCTTATATGCATCTTTGGTCTTTGAGTCATATATTTGGTAATTGGTGTTATTTTGTTAATGGAAAACTATTCACTTTACATGGCAACACTTATGTGAGTTGTATTTGTGCAATAAATTATTTATGGGTCTATATATATAGACAATTGTATTAAAGTGTCAAATAATTACAAGTAAGACCCACTTAATAGAGTGGTTTCCAAATAATTTTTACTTGTAAGTATTTGAGTTGCATCATTTTTTACATATAAAGATACATTGCAAGTATTAAGGAACGATAATAAGTTTATTTAATTAATTACCGTATCACATTTCTAATTACCTCCGACCAAACCAAATTGCATCACCAAATACTCTCGAACCATACCGTGGAAAATGGAGACGAGTAACATGGAACCTAAACTAGACCCATTAAATCCTAGAGTGTAATTCCAAAGTGTTAGAAACATAAACTTTGCCCTCTTATCTATTTTGGGCTTGTTTGTTGTTTATTTCTATTTTGTGGATAATTTGGGGGATTTCGAGAGTATTTGCATGAATTTGGTTATTAGACGTTAATTCGGTAGTTATAGGAAATTTATTGGCCTTATATAATTTGCACTAGTGGGATTTTCCTCATTAAACAATAACAAAATAATTATTCCCTAAACCTAATCTCTCTCTTCCTCTCTAGAATCAGAAACTCCCTCTTTCTTTACCTACCCAACCCGCCAACCTCCTCTTCTTTAGGGGTGGCCGAATTTCCTTCCTCTTCTCTATCCTCTTCTTCCTCAATCAAATCCCTAATTCTATCCCTCTTTTTCCCAATTATCCGACAATCCCTGACTCTCAATCCCTAGCCGGCGCCTAGATCCTTGTTTCTTATAGTGGTATCAGAGTTTAGCCGGCGCGGGGTTTGAGAAGATGACAGACAAATCGCAGGAATCTATGAAGGAAACCGTGGCTGTACAATAGGCGGTGACACCCGACCAACTGAATTCGGTCGGAAAGGAACTGGCGACCATCATAGAGCAGACAACGATGAACCTCTGTGAATTACGTAAAGCCTGATGGAGAAGGCAATCATGCAAATGGAGGAGACCCATGCGCGTTTCCTGCCAACTGTGGCGGCAAAGGAGACGAGCCACGCCGGGGGATCAACCATTCCTTGCGCGGGGAACGCAATGCCAGAGTAGGAGGCGAGGTGGCTTATGACGGAACAAGCGTGCGCGGCCGAGGCGACGATGTTAGGGGACGCGGCGTCGCTGCTAGTGAAGGCGGCGGCCAGCAAGGGCATGGGCATGGGCAGCAACCCTAATGCCTCTGGAAAGGCTGGCAAGGATAGCCTGGTCCGTGCGGGTCAAGGCTCCGAGGGCCCATCATTGGGTTTGGGCCTATTACCAACTCCTTCAGCTGAGGAGAGCGCGACATCTCGAGGAAAAGACAATTCCCAAGGTTATGAAGGTTAACCCATAATGATGAGGCCCGACGAAGTGAAAGGAGTATCCGGGCCGACTAGGCCAATGGAACGAGGACGAGCTCAGTCTGGCTGGCCACAGAGGAACACAGGTCGACCCGGCCCTTCGGGGGTATGTAAGACCTGGACTTCTGACCCAAACCGGGCAGGTAGGTTTGACCGGAACCGACTAGTAGAAAAGGAATTGGTCAGAACTAGTTCGAATCGGGTCAACCCTACTCAACCAAGACGTCCGCGGAGGTCGTGCGTGGGGAGGAGGAAGCTACAACTGCCCCTTCAACCTGATGTACCTCGCTAGTGACATTGGGAGTAGAGTGGGTGCAGGATGATGGAAGATGAGAGTAGGCTTAGGACTCAGGTACTGTGCCAAATGGCTTCGAGGAGGACATGGAGGGAGAAGACGGTTGGTATTTTCCTCATCGGGTGGGGTACGACAGTGCGAGAGACTACCACAGGGGTACAGGACACTACCGACAGGGCAAGGACATGTATGACGGTTACAACACTCTGTATGATGTGGATTATGATATGGTGTTTAAGGTCAAGCCTCCTGTGATTGAATTTTTGAGGTTTGATGGACATGGTGATGTGGGGTTATGGGCGTATGCAGCAGAGAGGTGATTTCGGAACCACTCCATCAGGGAAGAATGGAAGACGCGTATAGCATCTTTCTATCTAGAAGGAGATGCCCTACAGTGGATAGAGAGGTCTAATGTAGCAATCGGGCCCAGATCACCTGAAAGATGTTCCAAGAGGAGCTTAAGTATCAGTTAGGTAAGTCATAGGGATGGGATCAGAGCAGCTGGCTAAACTACAGTAGACAGAGACTGTAGCTGAGTACCAGTCAGAGTTCCTGAAGTTAGGAAACCAATGCAAGGGCATGACGGAGGAGATTATGCATTGGTTGGGCTGCGACTTAAATTGCCAACCTCAGTCAAAGTCTTTTAGCCTGATTCCATTTGAGTTGCTTTTAGACTTGCAGGTCGGAAGGAGGAGTTAGCCAGTCGGAAGGGGAGTGTAGGGCGTTGGTCAAAGGGTGCGAGCGGAGCAGAAGCCAGGGCGAGCACAACGGTGACCTTAGAGGACCCACCTGCGACCGCAACGACACTGGGAGCTTCAAACCCGGTGGCTTCCAGGGCGCCATCTGGTCGGCACATTCCAGCTCGGCTATCGCCGAAGGGGTTCGTGAAGCTGACACCCGTCGAGATGGAGCAGAAGCGCCACGATGGGCCCTGCTTCAACTACGACGAGAGATATATTGTGGCACATCAGTGTGCCAAGGGTCATTTGATGGTGTTGGTGGGCAACTTGGAGGATGAAGGCGAGGAGATGACGACTAAAGAGATTGCAGAGACGAAGGAAGAGTAGCCGCAAAATTGAGGCCAACTTTGAGGGCAAGGTTGGTCTCAAGGAGGGCCGATTGTTAGAAACATAAATTATGCCCCTCTTATCTATTTTGGACTTGTTTATCGTTTATTTCTATTTTGTGGATTTTTTATGTTATTTGGGGGATTTCGGGAGTATTTTCATGTTTTGGGCATTAGATGTTAATTCGGGTAGTTATAGAAAATTTATTGGCCTTATATATTATGTACTAGTGAGATTTTTCTCATTAAACAATAACAGAATAATTATCCCATAAGTCTAATCTCTCTCTTCGTCTTGAGAATCACAAACTCCCTTTTTCTTTCCCTATCCAAACCGTCGACCTCCTCCTCCTTAGGGGTGGACGAATTTCCTTCCTCTTCTTCCTCAATCAAATCTCTAATTTTGTCCCTCTTTTTTGAATTATTCGCCAATCCCAAACTCTCAATTCCTAGCCGTACGAGCCAAGATCCTTGATTCTTACACAAAGACCCATTTGTATAAACCCCATGGCCTTCTACTTCGTAATCCAGGCCAAAATTATGGCACCATTCACGGGTTGGTGGGCACGTTTTGTAGTTAATTATATCCACAAAATTATGATTATACTAACGCCAAACACCACCACAGTGTTTACTGAATAACCACTACCCACTATGATTTAGTATGGGTTGGTTGTGGTTACCCGCAAAAACTCATCTTTGCGGGCGTGGAGTGGTGGGCTGCCACTAATGAATATGCTATTCACGATTATACAATAATGATATACTGTCGTGTTGTTCATGAAGATGAAATTTTGTATATCTTACTGTACCTCTATGCGTAGGGGTTTTGCCTTTTCGAGTTTGTCATCCGACTTTTCTGTCGGAAAAAAGAAAGAGACAAAAGTTTTTTATTTACAAATTGCAATTTTACCCCACACGACACATACTATAACTTTTCATTTTGACAATGAGTTTTTCTTTTCTTTTAAGGAAATAGTATAAATAAGTATGATGAACTTAAAGATAAATCAAAAGTTTGTATGATGTGACTTGAATCAGACTATCTGGCTACGACTGGAAGTCACGGGGTCTCGCTGTAATCTTTTTCAAGTTTGTAACCATTTTCCTTTACCATATTGGATTAGACCACATGGAAAAGTATAATAAATACTTCTCATACTCCTCTGTAATACTTATCTCCTGGAAGTATAGTGAAATTGGCTATCTATTGCCCGTGGACTAGCTAACACACATTGTGTTAGTAAACGACGTAAATTTGTGTGTCGTGTTTGTTCTTGCTTTGTCGTTCCTCCTATTTTTCGATTTACAGAGAAACAAGCGTGATAGTTTGCCAATATGAACATTTTTTTATGACCTTTTGTCTTATTTTTTGTTAGGGTTAATATTTTCATATTGCTCGAACTTTACACTAACTTACTATCCTAACCAATTTTTCAGAAATTCCTATCCTAGCTTTAACTATCACCCAAAATGCCTGATTTGGCCTACCTCTGTCTTCATCGTTATGTTGGACAGTCAACTCACCATGCGACTGCCTAGCCTGCATAAACGAACTTAAAATTTTCAAAAAAATTCACATATTTTTGCTAATTGCAAATTATTACAATTTAAACCAAAATAAATTTTAAAAAATAAAAAAATTT